TTTTCCTCATTTCCCAAAAAGTCCTCAACTATCATTAGAACAAAACCATACCCAAAAATCTAAAACCAAAGACAGCAATGATTAAACGATTTGTCAGTTTAAGGGCTTTGTTTTCCCATATAGCCCTTCTCTTTCCATTGTCCCTATTGCCATCTCTGTTCGACCTTTTAAACCAATATGCTTGCAAGTGTATCTCTGTGTGTTTGGATGTTTTTATGTGTGCAACTAGTTAGCTTGTTTATCTAGTTGTACATTTATTTGGCCAACTGCCTTCAACCGCAAAATGTTTCTTACCATTTTACCGTATTTATCGCTCTGTCTCTTTTTACCCAACTGCCGCCACTATCTCACTTGCACTTTGTAAAATTTTACGAGGCTCAATTTCAGCATATTTGCAATTTGTACAGTTTTATGGCCTCAATTTGGCCTAAAATGGACAAAAAAATCTCGAAATAAAATATGTATAAATAGAACTTGTACAAAATAAATAAGAAAACCAAGACTTTTAATGAATTTCAATGATTAAAAGGATTTTTTTATAATATAGGTTTTGATTTGATACTATTGCTAAAGTTAAGAGGATTAAAAATATAAACAAACTGGAAAGGCTTTTGATATGAGTTTCTAGTTTGTAATATGAGATACCCGGTACTTCTACCGCCATCTTTGTATCAACTACAAGAACTTTTGAATACCTTCATACCCTAATACAGGATTAGTTCTTACAATACACTGTGCTTCTTAAACCACTTTAGCCCACTTTTAAGCTATTTTAGTATTTTTTTTAACCACTAAACCTCCGTAATTCTCTGTCATGTGTGTACTCTTTTATTATTTTTCATATTTATTCTTCTTATCCAGCATTTAAAGATTGTAAATTGTTTTTGTCCCACAACTTTTTGACTGTCTATAAGGAGTACTATAGTAAAGGGTGAAGGGCTGGTGGGTTGATACACCCCCCTATCTAGCATGGAAATGGTTGAAAAAATAGCCATGATACTTTATAATGTTATTCTGTTGCTGGTGATGTTTTTGCCACCGCCATTGTTGTCATTATTGTTGCTGTTGTTATGGCATTATCCGACTTTCGCTTTGTCATGAGTGCTTAATATTTTTTGTCGCTCGCTGTTTATTTTTGCAAGTCCTTTATTTTGTCTTCTTTTTATTTCAACTTTTTCTTTTTTTTGTATTTGCTACAATTTTTCGTTTATGTTTTGGCCAATTCCGTTTCGCTTTTGTGCCACTGGGAATTCTTTTTGCATACTGTTCATATTTTTTGTGGAGTACTTGGATGTGGGGTATATCGTGTTTCAATATTCATTTGATTTTTTTAAGTTTTTCTAATAATTCTTTAAAAAAATTCATGCTTAGAGTTATTAGTTTTTAGAGGTTTATTTGGTTCAATATATTCGTTTATAAGAAACTTTTGAAAGACTTTAAGGAAAAACTACGTCTTTAATTTTGTTGTTACACCTTCAAGTAAATCTAAGATATATTCATAAGAAAATGCAATTCAAACAGAGTTTCTTAAAGTCAGTTTTTTATAGAATTTGTTCTAAAGGCCCTACAAAAACTAAAAATTTAATTTATAATTATCCCGATTATATAAAAAATCAAGGCATTTAAAATTCTGCATAGAGAGACAACAATTTTCTTGAAATTTTTTTCATTTTTTCGTTGCCTTGGCTTAATATTTTTTATCATATTGTGGAATGTGGCATGTGGCACGGAATGCTGCACCTACATATCTGTAAATAAATGCACCCATACACCCCAAAGTATGTTGTGGATGCCACAATGCCGCACACACGCATGCATTCAGCTAACGGCAATCGACAATCGGACCTTCCAACCAAATAATACAAAAAATACGCCTCCTATGGCCACGCCCAGTCGATTTTTATATGCCATTTTCAATAAACAGACGCCGCTCTATACATAAATATATATTTTTTTTAGTTTTTGTATTTTATTTTCGATTTTTTTTGTTGGTGTCGAGTCTAGGAGTTCCTTTTGTCGTCCTGCGGCAGGCGTTTCCAAAAACAATCAAATATGGAAATTTTTGTCTCGGACCCGAGAATTGAAAATCGAGAATCGGTATCCTGATCCTGAGCCGCACACATAATGCACACATATGTGTCCCGCAGTTGCTACTGCTACTGCCGTTGTCCTTGCTGTCCTTGTTGCTACCACATCCGTCTGTTGTAACACCCCTCTCCGCACCCCTTTTCGGTTGCATATTTCTCGGCTACAGATAACTATTTTCGATTGCGCATTTCAGTGCGTTGAGGCGGAAATATTTCAATTGTTGGAGCTGACTTGTAATTTTTCATACACTCCACTTGTGGCAAAAACTGAAGGCCTCTGGAGGGGGCTAGGGTGTCCAGGACGAATCAGCTGTTACACTTTTATTATATTTCCCTCACATTTATTTTTCGTTTGCTTTTTCCGAGTGTGTGAGTGACGGTTGAATAATATTCTATCTTGATGGCAGCGGCGAGTAAATTAAAACAAATATAATTCAAGGGATATTTTTCTCAAAGTTAAATAGAACACTTTATAATATTATAAAAAGCGTGTTTTTGGTATATCACCACTTCCTACTACTATATCTTTTCCAATTCTTATCCGATCCTTGAGCGGAATACCTTAAACAATTTGAGGGTCGATTCTCCATCAATCTGCATCAAAACCTGGACACAAAATATTTTTTGAATTTTTTTCAAAAATTTCCTGGGGGTACCCATGTAAAAAGCGTGTTTTTGGTATATCGCCACTTCCTACTACTATATCTTTGCCAATTCGTATCCAATCCTTGAGCGGAATACCTTAAAGTGTTTGTGGGTCGATTTGCCATCAATCTGCATCAAAATCTAAGCACAAAATATTTTTTGGATTTTTTTCAAAAATTTCCTGGGGATATCCATGTAAAAAGCGTGTTTTTGGTATATCGCCACTTCCTACTGCTATATCTTTGCCAATTCTTATCCGATCCTTGAGCGGAAGCACAAAAATCTAAGCACAAAATATTTTTTGGATTTTTTTCAAAAATTTCCTGGGGATATCCATGTAAAAAGCGTGTTTTTGGTATATCGCCACTTCCTACTGCTATATCTTTGCCAATTCTTATCCGATCCTTGAGCGGAATACCTTAAAGTGTTTGTGGGTCGATTTGCCATCAATCTGCATCAAAACCTGGACACAAAATATTTTTTGAATTTTTTTCAAAAATTTCCTGGGGATACCCCTGTAAAAAGCGTGTTTTTGGGATATCGCCACTTCCTACTACTATATCTTTGCCAATTCTTATCCGATCCTTGAGCGGAATACCTTAAAGTGTTTGTGTGTCGATTTGCCATCAATCTGCATCAAAATCTAAGCACAAAATATTTTTTGGATTTTTTTCCAAAATTTCCTGGGGATACCCCTGTAAAAAGCGTGTTTTCTGGTATATCGCCACTTCCTACTACTATATCTTTGCCAATTCTTATCCGATCCTTGAGCGGAATACCTTAAACAATTTGAGGGTCGATTCTCCATCAATCTGCATCAAAACCTGGACACAAAATATTTTTTGAATTTTTTTCAAAAATTTCCTGGGGGTACCCATGTAAAAAGCGTGTTTTTGGTATATCGCCACTTCCTACTACTATATCTTTGCCAATTCTTATCCGATCCTTGAGCGGAATATCTTAAAGTGTTTGTGGGTCGATTTGCCATCAAAGCTTTAATGCAAAATACGTTTTTAATGTGTTTCCAAATTTCCCTATTTTCCAAAAATGTTCTTTAAAAAGTACTTGCTTTTGCATCTCACTGTTCAATGTGTTCCACTGTCGACCATAGAAAAGCCGTAAACCGCAAATGTTTGTTACCCCATTAGTTTTGTTACAGGACTCTATCAGTGTGCTTGTGTGTGTATTTGGGGGTGTGTTTGTGTTGGTGACCACTATTCGCATGTGTGTGAAAAGCCAACCTCTTAGCCAAGAGGAAAAAAACAACAAAATTTATTGCCAGCATTCCAAAAAAGATTTTCACTTGCATTTTAGCATTCGGCATTGAAGGCCAAACTTTTTCAGTAGAGCTTCGAACCAATTATCCAGGGACATTGCAGGACAAACTGGAGCAGAATAGCAGTAACAACAACAACAGCAGCCGAAGGATATGGAGGCTGTGGGTCCGAAGAATCCACAGTAGCCAGGACCCTCAATTATCGGCTTAGTTTGGGAATCGAGACTGCAGCTGTTCGAATGCATTTTGTCCAGCAACACGGAACACGGAAACAGACACTCAAATTCTGAGGCAAAGAAAAAAAACATTCGAACAGGAGCCAACAGGATAGCCAGGATATGGCAGGATACGCCAGGACTTGGCTGGCATTCAATTAGGCATCCTACGGGCCAATATTCCGATATACAAATATACAGACAGATATACAGATTTATAGTCAGTGTGTTGTCAATGCTTTAATTATCACGGCCAGAGGGCTCCAAGGACTTTATCCTTGAGAGGATTTTAAAGGTGTATTGTTTTTTTATTAAACCTATTAAATAAACCTTTCTAAGATACGATTTTTCTTATGATCTTTCTTATGATATTTATCTAAGGGTTATAAGTTATTTTAAGATTTCAATTAATTATTTTAAATTTAATCTAATATTTAATTTTTCCAATACTCAGCCTTATTCATACATGAACCTTTTAAGCTCTTTAATTTATAATTTTTGTATAAAAAGCCCACTTACCATTTAGCTCCTTTGAACGTAAATTTATTCATTTTCTCTGGTGACTTGGATGTCCCTTTTGTCCTTTTTTGTGTGTTGTGTTGAGCCTGTTTTGTGTGTGAGGAAAAGTCTCGCTGGACCGTACTCTGACATTGCCACCGATACACTATTTATACCCACTCCGGGGACAGAAATGCCAACAACAACAAGGAAATGAATACGCCTTGGTGGGTTATTCATACGCCCCGTGGGACCGTCAAGTAAAACACAATGGTGGTCTCTTATTTGTATGTGTATTGTGTATTGTGTATTTGATTTGATGCGTTTAGTACTTAGGACAACAATTACGTTTAGGTTAACTAGCATAAATCTATAATCATCACATTATGGCACAATGTAGGTTATGTAGTATATATACTCGTACATATATATGTATATAAATATATATTATAGACATATCAATTAACATTAAATCGATGCAGCTATAAATTAATCATTAAAAGTCGATAATCAATAATCGATAAGAAAACAATATTAGTTACTATCGGAAATAATCGAGAGTAATTTTTAAAACATTTTATGACTTTTCATGCCTCTCTGGATTTTCTCATATAGACTATTTTTTTTTCAAAAATACAATAATATAATAATAAAAAAAAAACGTTCAAGTTTCACGCTATCAGGCGACCTAAAGCAGCCGATTTATTTCGACTTCTTCGATTACCAGCACCACCGTAATAGGAACCTCCTCCGCCACGATCACCATTTATGTGGGTCAAGGTGGTGGTGGTGTGCGGTACATAGAGACTCGTATTATTACGCATATGCCGGCGTCGATAACGATAGCCGGTGATTAGCTCACGAACTGTTTTTCGATACTTATCGGATAGCACACAGTATAAGAAAAAATTTGATGCCGCATTGAAGGCAGCCAGCAAATTGCAAACATTACCGGCCACAACCTGAGTACTGGGCGCGATTTCCATATACTGACCCAGTATCAGGTATATGGCCCAAGGTAATTGGCAAACGATGAATAGAAGGACCACAGCTATCAAAGTAATCGTAACTCGATTCTCTTGTGAGACTGTACCAGTTATTCCAGAATTTGATTTTCGCTAAAATATGAAGATTTAAATTAATCAAGAATTTTATTATATTATTGAGACTTACTTTTGTCCGTCTTATGCTATTGGCATTTGTTAAATCACCTCGCAAGTTTTTTGAACGGTGTACCAATAATATCAAAAAAGAGTTAAAAGTGGCCAGCAAAAGTAAGGGCAACAGGACAAAAACTAAAAGTGTAAACAAATTCCAAACACTGGCATATAGATCGTTCATACCGAGTTCCGAAGATGTATGCAAAAAGAAAGTCATCTGGAGAAATTATAATAAAAAAATACATTACATTTTTTTAAAACTTTTTAAATATAGGTCTTTTTTACTCACATTTTGACAATATTCTGTTATATTAAATGCAAAGGCCTCTGTGGTATTCACTTCCGAAAGACTTTTCAAGCGACGCGATACAAATTGTAGACTTTCAGTAACGTGATCTGGATTTTGATCTTGATCCTCATCCTGATCTATGTCCTGTTGTTGAAGAACTTTACTCATAGGTGGCGTTGTTCTAAAACCAGGTGAGTGCAAAGGCCAGCGCTTCTCTGCTTTATATTCTTTAATTAATTAAGAAAATATATATTTTTAGAATTTTATTTTAAAGTGCAGCTTACCTGGTACACCTCCATCCCCGCTGCCACCACCACTGAAGACGTCAGAAACCAAAACTCCAAGAGGTTTCTCCGGTTTCCTGGTCAAGTCCTGCATGTGGGGAGTCACCGGTGTGGGCAGCATGGCTGTGGGCAGGGGCGTGGTGGAATCTAAGGGGCTGGGAGCCTGCATGGAGAGGGACGGGGTGAGCGCCAGGGGCTGGGGTGAAACGTTGGCGAGGGTCTGGTTGCAAGGACGATAGTCATCGTCGATCAGACGGAATTTACGGGCGAACGAGTGTTCAAAGGCCGTTGAAAGTGTCGACAGTAGGCAGAAAAGTGCAACAGCTAAAAAGAAATATGGGAAATAATAGAATTATTATATATAAAGATACCTTTAGGGACATTCTACACTCACCTGCAATCACCTTCTTGGCCAAGGACTCTGTGCAGAATGTTTGTCTCTTGAGCGGATAACGAATCGCAATGAATCGCTCAATTGTGAAGCACACGGCTATGTAAATCGATATGTAGGCTATGGGGAAACAAAAAAAAGGATAAAAGGATAACAATGCATTCACAATCAGGCATACACATAAAGAAAATTTTTATAATCAATATTAAAGAGAACAATAGAGGCTATAGATGTTCAATATTTCAAGAAATGCTCCTTAAAAACCAAACATTTCCCCTTCAAAAAAATGGAAGTCCTTAAACCTTAAAAATAAATTATAAGAAATAATACCCTTAGAAATACAATTTTTTTTCAGTGTATTTTGGGCTTAATTCCCTGCGCTTTGTTCCTTATTCCATGCCTGTCAATTTATTCAAAACGCGCGGCACTCTAAACGATTGATGTTCGTGATGAGGGGCGGTGGAAAAGCGGGTGGAAAATTGGAGGGAAAAGCGGCAAATGAAAGGGGAACAAAGAGTAGGGGTAGAAGGTGGAAAAGCGGTCAGCTGACCGCTGGAATTTTGCAGAAAGCGCTGCTAACTATTGCTCGTAAATTGGCGGAGCAGCTCAATGAAATTGCAGCAACAACACCGCCAGTTGCAGTTGCAGTTGCACGAAAAACAGAAGCGCCACTTTGCCACTCGCCGCAGGTGCAATTCCAATTGATGTGCCCAGGAAAAAAAAAAACGGGGGGCGGCCATATACCACCCATAGATCTGGGGAATTTATGGAATCCCCATCATTCCGCACCAAAAACGCTTTTCCGGCAGCACACACTCCACATCCCGGCAGCACAACAAAGTTGTTTAAGCTTCTCCCCCGGACCAGTGTGTGTGTGTTTATTTTCTAACAATTTGTGGATATTGTTTGGCCAAAAACGGAGAAGGTTATTATGGATCAGGTAACTATATTTCATAATAAGAAACTTCAACAAAAACAGAAGCTGTTTAACACCTATGTGGGTGTTACATTTCTAGTTTGAAATAAATTTAGAGATTTTTTACTTAACACTATTATTATAATGAATTATTAATATTGAATAACTTGATCAACTATGGCTTTGCTTCTAATGTCAGCTACAGAAATATTGTATATAATTTTAATTTAGTTTTAAACTCCTTAACGAGAACAACGCGTGTACAACGAATAATATGAGTTAATGAGAGTTTAAGTTATAATATTCTTAATTCAAAAATTCTAACACTCACCACATGAATCACAAAGCCAAACAAAATATCCATAAAACTGCCAATATATCTCGCAATGGTACTTGACATAATCGTAGTGCTGAAAGCTGAGAATTAGCTGGAAAGTCAGGTAAGCGATATCCGTGATGGCCAGGGCAGTTAAATAAATATTTGTAGTGCAACGCATACGTTTTCTAAAATTAAAACAAAATAAAATTAAAATTAAAATAAAAGCTAATAACTTAAAATAACTTAAATAAAAAAATCAGATCAAAAGCTTTTGCAAAAATTCAGAAAAGTGCCAACCACCCATTGAAATGGGTGGAAATTGCCCGAAAGCTATAGGGTCTGTAGACTGGGAGGAAAATGGGGAGGTCATTTCCCTTGGGGTCATGGGTCGCCCAAAATGTCGGCACAGTCATGAAGCCAAAAGATGAACAATAAAAACTAACTGTCGGCATTTAGTTTCCTCTCTGGCATTGCCCGCAGCTCAGATAGTTAAATTTCAATATATTCTAAAAACAAAAATCTACAAAAATACAAAACTACAAATAAAATAAACTAAAAAAAAAAACAAGATAAAAATTGCATATGAAACTTGAATTAAAATGCCATCAGGCAGGTGCTGACAATAAAGTTGACAAAATTGTTTTCTAAAATGAAAGAAGGTACTAGGAAAAAAAATAGAATCAATTTTAATTTAACTAAAAATATATTTTAAAATTACTCTTGAAACTAAACAAATATTTATTCATTTTCCTTTTAGAAAACAACTACCTTTTAGTTTTATTTTTGGACTTTGCCATTCTTGGCCAAGAATTAAAAGTTAAAATGGCATGTGACAGGCATTCTTTAAAATTAAATTTATCGGGATTTGGAGTGGAAAAGTGAATATAGTATTTTTTTTTGTCGCCCAACATGCCCATGTCCATATGGTGTGTTGTAGCAGTCAGCTTGCTGAGCAGAGAACTTGCAACTGTCGCATATTTTCCGGCGTAAAAAAAAGCACACACACACATACACATTTATGTATATGTATATTATTTATATATATTTTTTTTATAAATATATATATTTTTGCGACAGTACGCTTATCTGTAAAACACAAAACAACCAAAAAAAAAAGAAACATTTTTGCATTTGGCACATAAAATGGTTCGTATTGTTTCAGTTATTGTTTTTCTTGTTGTTGTTGTTGTTGTCGTCCTTTTTGAATGTCCTTGTTGGTATTGTTGTTGGCGGTGTGGAAATGATTTTAAAGTGCAACGCTGGCTACAATTAAATGCCGTGTTTAATGCGCTGCGTACCTGCTCACAGCTTCATTCATGTTCCGCTTGTCCGCAACAGACACATGCACTGGGAGAAAAATATATTTTATTTTCAGGTTTCAAAAAAATACATATATCAAAATATGAATAACAATAGTAATATATATAAAGGATTCAATTTAATAAGTATGATACTTTATAGTATTTAGTATTTTTTCTGAAAAATTTAATTTATTTTGCTTAGTATATGTATTAAAATATTTATTAAATTTCCTAATTAAAATAAAAACCTTTAATTTCTAATCAATTTATTAATTTTCAATTATCTATCTTAACCCTTTATGGCTTTCCAAAAATTATTTTTCAAACTGCCGCAAAAATGCATAAAACAATAACAGTGTCCAAAGGCCACGCCCACTCAATTGCTGAATCGTTTTGGGCCATAATCCAGCAACAACAACAATAACAAGAAAAGGCCCAGCGAGAGAAAGGGGGGGATACAAGTGCACTTACCGCGTCAAAACATAAATGCTCACTGAATTTCCCAATAGGCCAATAACAAAAACGCACGGCACCAAAATGCGTTGAACAACACGCCGCACTTCCACTACATCCGCATCCGAAAACATTTCGGTTCCAGCAGCCTCAGTCTCGTTCAACGTCGCTGCCTCTGCCTCTGACTCGGTTGACGTCGCGGTTGCAGTCACGGTCGCCGTTGCCGTTGCCGTCGCAGTCGCAGTCAGCGTAGCTGTCAGCAAGGAGAACATTGTCATTGTTTTTGGTTTTTATTCAATTTTTGGCCTATTTTGATCCTTTTTTTTCGTCCTTGCGGTATTCCGTCGTTTGGCGATAACGATTAAAATTTTCGATTACGATTACAAATCCAATGACGATTCCACTTATTTGAGAAAGCTTTTAACTGAAAATAGTTACAAGAAATACTTTATAAATAACTATTGCTTTTTAAAATATAAAATATTTTTTAAATAGAAACAAAGTATTTTTAACTTTTAATATTTCTTTAAAAACTCAATAAAAAGTCTCTATAGAGACCCATAATTGTTTTCTTTTGAAAAAAAGTCATCAATCAACAAAATAAACAAAAATATGGCCTTATTCTTGGAAGAATTATTACCAAAAATTAAGAAAAAGAACTGACTTTAGGCCATATACATTTTTGCAAGCTTTGAAATTATAAAAACATTTTTTATGGCTTCCCTGTGATGAATTTTCTTTGAAGATGTTTTCTTAAACTCAAAATCAAAAGAATATTTCCCGAATATGTCTTTTCTATTCATACATAAAAATTTGCATTAAATGTACATTCATAAGACCTTAAGTGTTTAATTTTAATGTTTCAATTAATTCTTACACATGTTTGTACATTTCATAATGAAAATAAAACAAAAGAAAAGGATATATCCTTTGCTAATCATTCCTTGTCTTTTGTATTTTTTTTTTTTTGTATTGATTCTACCGAATGATTTATGGCTAACTGGGATTGGCATTGATATTGGCCAACAATTTGGACAGATACAGAGATAGATGGATAAAAGTGGTAGGAGGAAAAGTGCCACAAAAAGGACTTTGGAAAGGAAATAAATAAGAAAGAGGAGGCGTCCAGTTTCCTTGTCTTTGGACTTTTTTATTGCATTTAGAAAATAAATATTTTAAAAATAAGTATAAATAAATTTATATATTAAAAACCTCTATTAAAAAATTAAAAAGTAAAGCTTATAACTTATTTCTAAAAAAAAAATCTTAAATATTTTTCTCTCTAAAACAGAAAACCCGCTCGTTCATTTATTTATTTGGTTTTCAATTTCCAAGCTTTTTCGATTCTTTTTTTCCACTCTAACAGTGTGTGTGTGAAAAAAGGGGGGGGGGTGTCCATGTTATTGGACCACTATTAATGCCCTTCCACCCCCGCCTTTCTTTTTTGGGATTTTTTTTCGCCCACACACTGGGCAGACAAATTGCGCGTAAAATAAAACTGAAATTGCAATTGCATCGAAAGCAACAAAATAGACAAAAGAAGACGAAAAAAAAACGCCAAGGAATTGGAAAGCGTTTTAAAAACAATAAAAGTGGCAAATTCACAGTCAAGTCCTCCATCCTCTCTAAATTCGCAAATACTGCACGTACCGGGGATGGTGCCGGGGTGGCAATTTGGGGCAGAGTGGGCGGCAAATGTAAGTGCAACACAGTACGTGGTGAAAACAAAAACCCGAAACTGAAACCCCAACAAGAAAAAAAAAAAGACTGAATGAAAGAAAATATTCGTTGCATTAGGCGAAAACTAGAAAATCTAAACAAAAATGTGGAAAATACACAAAAATCTTTTTATTTTTGTTTCCCCCACCCAACCATCCACCACCCACCTATCTACAAGGCTGATGACAATTTGGAAAAAGGGGCATTACTGAAAGAAAATTGGGGAGAATCCAAAAGAAAACTGTTCGTTGTGGATTAGCAGCTAATAAATGTTTACTGATCCTAATTAAATTTCCACCACATTTGTAAATTCAAAAACCAAAAACCAAACAATTGGAAAGCTTTCTTTGGGTTTTTTCGAAAATGTAAATATTACAGTCTGGTAAATGTTTAAAAATTAAAGATCAAATACAGGAAATGGAAAATATTAAACCTTACTCTAGTTTTTAAATTCATGAAACAGATAAACGTTTACAATATTAAAAACCTCAAAAGAAACAGTAAACATATTAAAGGACATGGAAATGAATAAATGAATACCTGAATAAATACCCAGATGAATACAGGAATAAACCCACGAATGTATAGGCGAGTGAATGCTTAAATGAATGCTTAAATATATAGAATGAATAGGCTGGCAGACTGGTCTGGTAAACTAACTAACTGAATGAGTGAGTGGATAAATGAATGACTGACTGAATGACAGACTAAAGAAATGAATGACTTACTGAATGAATAACAAGAAAGGAAAGCTAACTTCGGGCGGAGCCGAAGTTTATATACCCTTGCAGCTAAAACCGGATATATATCGCAAACATCGGATATAGTTGGCCGATCCTTATGAAATTTGGTAGGATGGATCAAAATTTAATCTGTACCAAGTTCCAGCTTTCTATCTTCAAAAACACGAAAGTTGGGTCATTTCCGATCGTTCAGTTATATGGCAGCTATAGGATATAGTCGGCCGATCCTTATGAAATTTGGTACGTTGGATCAACTGACCAAAAATAGAATCTGTATTAAATTTCAGCTTTCTATCTTCAAAAAAACGAAAGTTGGGTCATTTCCGATCGTTCAGTTATATGGCAGCTATAAGATATAGTCGGCCGATCCTTATGAAATTTGGCATGTCGTAATGTTTTGCCAAAAATAGCACTCATGTCAAATTTGAACTCTCTAACTCTAAAAACACAAAAGTTATACCATTTCCGATCAATCAGTTATATGGCAGCTATAGGATATAGTCGGCCGATCCCGGTCGTTCCGACTTATATACTGCGTGCAAAGGAAAGAAGGGTGTGTGCAAAGTTTCAAGACGATAGCTTTAAAACTGAGAGACTAGTTCGCGTAGAAACAGACAGACAGACAGACGGACAGACGGACAGACGGACATGCTCATATCAACTCAGGAGGTGATCCTGATCAAGAACATATATACTTTATAGGGTCGGAGATGTCTCCTTCACTGCGTTGCACACTTTTGGACAAAATTATAATACCCTCTGCAAGGGTATAAAAAAAGCGTCTGGCAAAGCCTTAAAGGCAAATCGCGGAATTGAATAAAATGCCATGGAACGGAAAAAAAGAACTCATTGCATCCTCCATATTTTTGTTCCTTAAAAAAAAACCTTAATATTTTCTTCATCCTCAGGCTTTACTTAGTTTTTTTTTATAAATTTTTTATTGTTATGGCAGCCACAAGCTGACAAAATTCTTTTGTGTCGGTTTCATTGTTGTAGTTTTTTTGTTGTTGTTGGCGGTGTTTTTTTTTTAGTACACATTTCTTTTATAAGCAATAGAATTATATTTTTTTTAAGGGTGCCGAAGAAATTAAGAGGTATCTGTTGAGTGGGATGAGCTTTGTAGACAACACGACGTATACGTAATTTTCTTGAGAAAATAATATTCATATACTTGGTATTTAGTTCTTTATTTAATATATATAAAAAATATATTTATGATCGGTTAAATGCATTTTTAAATTGATAATTCATAATTGAAATACAAATCATTATTTGCTAACATGGCGTATACTTAATATCACGACACATTATATTGCGTATACGTATAGAGGATTTAAAGGAATGGAGAATTTAGAGAATTATAAATTTTTTTTATTTTTGATACTAAATTATTATTATTTTGAGACAAATTCCTTAAAAAAAAAGGAAGAAATTACTCGAAAACAGTGCGTATACTTAATATGATCCAAACCAATATTAACCATACGCCCTGTATAACATATTTTTTCTAAATTTTCAAATTTTTAATAAAAGCTTGTATTTTTATTTTAAAAATTTAATTTTTTTATGGGGTATCCCTAAAACCGTTCAGAAATTTAAATGTCCTTCCATGGAAATCTCATCTGCTCGCTGTCACCCTGTATGTGTGTCATTCTAACAGACACAACAAAAGATTCCAAAATTAGCACACCTATACACTAGCACACACACTGTCACACCTATACACAAACACACGTGAATGTGTCTAACAAATACGTGCGAAAAAAAGCTCATAGAAGAATTCTTGGCTTTCCCAGGCTCTTCTTTCTTTCTTCCTTTCTTTCTTTCTTCTTGTTCTTTTTTTTTTGTACTGCCAGGCCGCGTTCCAGTTTTTTTCCCGTTTTGGCCAGAAATGCAACAGAAATTCTTATTTTCAACGTCCTAGCCTGCCACTCCTCTCTCCGCCTACCAAGCCACTCCCCCTTCGACTCCCTTTGCATAATTAGCGAGTGGCTCAGTGGCTACAACAACAACAGCAACTTGGCCAAGTCAAGTGGCTGTGTGCCATTTTCTCAAGCCAAAAGCAACAGCAACAACAACAGTGTACCTGCCACAAAATAACAACAACAAAAAGTATGCCTTGCTCCTAATTGGCAACCAAGAAAAAGCTGAAAAAAAATAAAAATAAAAATAAATAAATGTGGCAAGAACTTTAAAGCCAGAAAGGCAAAAAGAAGGCCGAAATGTTTGACAGGCCCGCGGCCACGTTTTTGCCTTGATTAGGATAAGTTGCATTTAAGCAGCAGTTAGAATGAACTTTAAATTGAAAAGCCAGCTTCAAATGGACTAACTTTTGCACGGCCATACACTGAACTAAAAAATGCGGTAGCTTACTAATAAATAAAAGTTTTGAAGGATAGGTACTGGAAAGGTTTTGCACTCCTAAATATTCTTCTGAAACTCTAGTTATTTTTAAAGAAACAATAACTCTTTCGTTTTCTTGATTTTTAATTGAAATAAATTACTCTTTTTATTAAAAAATTATTTTAAAAATCGCATGTCTTAAAAATATTATTAAAAATTTGTAAATATCTATGTATGTATGTATTTTTTTCAGAGTATTTTTTTTCTTGCCCAACAGCCAGCAACATAAATCCACAAGAGCCAAGTCAACGCTTTTTGGGTTTTGTTTATCGTCCTTGCTCCTGTACTGGCCCCTTGCCCCTTGGCTGCTGGCCCTCTGACCCTTCGATTTCCCTTTCACCCCATACCCCGTCCCCTGTTTTCAGTTTGTTTACCCTGAACCAGCAGCGGCAACAAGATAAAGTCAAATAGTTACAACAGCATCATGACAGGGCAGCCTCAGTCAGTCATTCAGCTTGCAGTTCGGAGTTGCAACTTCGCTGGAAAGAGCTATGGGCTACATGGAGAGAAGGTGGGAGTAGAAGAAGACAGTCTGAGACAGAGACGGACAGAGTCCGAC